AAAACTAAATAACCAAACAAGTATTTATAACGGTTGAGATCTACAACAAAACTCACAAGTAATCTAGAACGAGTTGCCGTTATCACAATTTTTTAAACAGCACATTTCTTTCTAATATCAAAGAAAATAGTTAATTTATGGGGAAAGCAGAGAGTATTTGTAATAACATAAGTTTCATTTTTTTGTCTTGGTTCTGGCCGCCTTGTCCAACTGGTTTTTCTGTCCAAAGCTCTTTCTTGTGCTAATATCCTGTTCACAGACACAACATTAGTTGTGGCACGAAGGATAAAGTCAAAATGTCCAGCTTCTTTCCTTTAATTACAATGATTCAGGTTAACAACTTCAGCCATACGATGGTAATACTAACATAACAGTCTCCAGCGATGAAATGTAAGCCTGTATATGAGCTAAGTAACGCGATCTATCGATGGTAATGTACAAACTGACGCGTCAATTCCCTGAAGTGGAATATGTTATCAAATGTTGGTTAGAATTCATGCACAATCGAGGTCAAGTGGGATCAACGATGAAATCAAACAACTGTCAAGTATGTGCTCTCTCCATTGTGTACAGGCTAACAAATACTTCCCGCTCGTACGAGATGGTTTATATTACCAACACTTATATAACAATCTAAAGTTTCACGAGCTTGTTAACAATCCCTGCTGATAATTATTCACTATTTTCATTACTATAGTATTGTAACACCAACACCAAAATATCAGCCCCCTGCCCTATAGCCCCGAGGGCTACTAATGGCCAAGATTACCATACCCCTATCAATCTGGTTTATTTATGTATATATATTGTTAATAGAAATGCGATATGAAAAGAAAAAAACAGAAGTCATAATGACTTTTTATCCCGTATACTGGACATTCATGTGTAGTCAAATCCACACTTACACTGGTGGATATTGGGGAAGGGTTAATTGGTTCGGGAGAAAGGATGATGGGGAAGTGGTGATGGGATGGGGAGAAAGGATGATAGGGCAGGGGTGATGGGATTAAAAGAAAGGATGATGGGGAAGGAGTGATGGGATGGGGAGAAAGGATGATAGGGAAGGGGTGATGGGATTGAAAGAAAGGATGATCGGGAAGGGGTTAAGGGATGGGGAGAAAGGATGATAGGGCAGGGGTGATGGGATTGAAAGAAATGATGATGGGGAAGGGGTGATGGGATGGGGAGAAAGAGTGATAGGGCAGGGTTGATGGGATTGAAAGAAAGGATGATGGGAAGGAGGGATGGGATGGGGAGAAAGGATGATAGGGCAGGGGGGATGGGATTGAAAGAAAGGATGATCGGGACGGGGTGATTGGATGGGGAGAAAGGATGATAGGGCAGGGGTGATGGGATTAAAAGAAGGGATGATGGGGAAGGAGTGATGGGATGGGGAGAAAGGATGATAGGGCAGGGGTGATGGGATTGATAGAAATGATGATGGGGAAGGGGGGATGGGATGGGGAGAAAGGATGATAGGGCAGGGGTGATGGGATTGATAGAAATGATGATGGGTAAGGGGTGATGGGATGGGGAGGAATGATGGCGGGGTTGGGTGCAGAGTTCCTCTACCATGAGTGACGGTCAAAATGCCATACTTCAAAGGGTATTGAGGTTTAGTGTACTTTGTATCTTTTGTCCGTATACCAGAAAGGCATGTATAGGAAACACGGTAGTCTAGTGGTAGGACGCCAGGCCCGTGATCGAAGGGTTGCGGGTTCGAGTCACGCCACGGCAGTGCTAGAACTGTTAAATGCTAGCTGTGAGCGCCGAAACGGAAGCACCGGCTGTATAATCCCTAAGGAGTTGAGAAAGATATTGGCTGGTTGCAAAGGCCCTTTAACCGCAGATAATAATGTGTGAACAGCTTTTCGAGACGACATAAGAACTAGGTTGTGATAAAGCGGTATTTACGAACCTCGAATTATTATTATTATTATAGTCAAAACATCACTTACATTAACTTGTCAAACATTATGTTTCACTATAAACTACGTGTCCTATTGGATTTTACTGATCACATGACGGGGAAACAAACATCGTGTAGTCCTCTCGCACTAGCATTTCCCTTAATTGGAGCCACTCTATAAAAAATTGTAAGAGCCACAACACCCGAGTTCTGAGTGACTGAAGCTGACGACAACACTGCGTATCGACCTGATAATCTTTACTTAAGTCTAATTGCTTCATTGCGGCATGATTAAATGTATTGCGCTAGTTATAGTGAAACGCGATTCTTTGTTAATCTGAGTGTAAGCTTCGACCTTCTGAAGCATAATTAATCTCGAAAAAACAAAGTACAGTGTGTATAGTTTTCAATTAACAATCATAAAATGTTGAGCTGGCAACGAGAAGAGATTGGTAGGATATAGATGACAGGAAGTTAGTGAGAGCTTACTCTTGTGTTAACGACACTGTCCTGTGGTTAAGCTGAACAGAAGACTCATTATGATTTTGGATAAAATGTCAACTGTGGTTATTTTAATATAAATCAAATATTATTTCCACATTTTCATATTTGAATAGACAAAGTCTCGTCAAAATTTCTCGAACGAGAGTGAAACGTGAGTGCTGCATCGTTTGTGTACTTTTTGGTCACGTTTGTATTACTACTTACTTAAGTCTTTTGATTCATGGTCTTCTGACCCGGAACGCTAATAGCTACATAGGAGCACAACATAATTGTAAATATGAAGAGAAAGAGGGAATACTAAATTATATAACTCCTGCAGTTGTATAGCAATAGGCCCATGGGCCTTAACGGTCACCTGGGTTGATTTTTGTTTTTAAAACATGAACAGAAATATTATTCAAAGTGACAAAAATCTATAAAACCACCCTATTCGTGTGTTAATACGGATTTTTACGTTGCAGTTTTTATAAGTTTTTCATATTTTGAGTTTTCAGTACGCATTGGTACGCTGTGGTTTGATGTAGTACTCTTTTTCTTTAATGTTCATACGGATTGATACGCTGTGGTTTCATGTAGTACTCCATTTCTTTAATTTTCATACGGATTGGCACGCTGTGGTTTCATGTAGTACTATATTTCTTTAATTTTCATACGGATTGATACGCTGTGGTTTCATGTAGTACTATATTTCTTTAATTTTCATACGGATTGATACGCTGTGGTTTCATGTAGTACTTAAAAAAATGAGCCCTTAATGCGGATTTGTAAGTTACCAAGTACATATTTATGTGATACAAAAATGAGATCCGTTCAATGCAAACTACATACCATTGCGGTACTCGGCATACCAGAAGACATCACCATGCAATTAGGTCATGGTATATAATATAATGTCAATTTTTAAATATCAATCTAGTGCTTGTGATCTGATTTTAGATGTAAGACATTATTCGACGTCTTTTTTATAAAGTACATTTAAAACGTTTTCAGCTGGTGATGCATTCACATAAAATGAAAGTCGTTCATGATAAAAACATCATAGTACAAAACAAAAAACCGCAAAACAGACTACTCTCCGTTAGAATTTTTAATATGGAATTTTACATTGAAACCCCAAAAATGATTAAGTTTGATTCAACCGTCCTATTTTGGTGTCTTCTTGCGGGGTGAACGTCTTCGTTCTGAAGAACCTGAAACATATATAAAATGTATTTTATTATTTTTTTGTCTGTTTCCATAGGTATTATTTATAATTCACTTGAGAGAAATGCATCACTGATACAACATTTTGACATAAACGATCCAACTGTGCAACGGAATATTTAATAACACATTTAAAAAAAAAGGCAAATAACGCTTTTACTAAACTATAGAGTCCACTGTATTAAACATGAACGTGTGTGTGTGGACTGTGTCCATGAGGCTGTGTGCTAAAATAAATATTGGAATAAAATGTATTTATTTATTTATTTTATTTACTGTTTAAACATGTACGTGTTAACATAGATACATGAAGCATACATATCGTGTCATATTAATATTTCAATACTACTGACCCTCCATATTTTAAAAGTGTGAAAATAACATAATTCTACCTTTCGCCGTGTCTTTTGTCTCTTTTCCAGTACATTTCTTGTTCTTTCCAGAATGTCCCTCCCTGGTGGGTCTTTTTGGTGTTGCATCTTTGTCAGGCGTAATTGAAGTCCCGCCGTCAGTCTTCATCTTTTTAGGATCTTTACCTTTAGTTGTAACAAGACAAACATATATAAATATTTTAACCGTAGTGGAACATTAGGATTAAGGCAAGAAATATAAAAAAGTAAAGAATCCTTCTTACCCAGTGATTGCAAATTGAGCAAGCTTTTTCCTCGTCTCTTGTGCAAGGTTCTGGTTTCCGTTTCTGGAACATGAATAGATAAAATAAATATAATATACTAAGAACATACCATTATCTATATCGAAACTTGGCTGATATAATTACCTTTAGTTGATCTTAACTTTGTTGGTGTCTTCACAACATCCGTTTGTAGCCCAACATCGTGACATGGCCGTTTCTGTATACCTGATTCATGGTACGGCAGAAAGCACTCTCTTCAAATGTAAAATAAAATACAATATCAACATTAATATGCTAACAGGTAGCAACTACTTAATTTAATAAATATTTATGATTAAAAGATACATAAAGTGTCAATATATATACCTGTGAATGTTTACACGGCATTGTGAACATCCGTATGTCGTCTCGGGTGTTCGGCCTGTTCCAGTTTGTGTTTTCATTTTGCTGCAATATCTGCACACGCGTGCACGTCCTGGCAACACCATTGCTTTATGCGATGCAGCGAATAGAGATGACATTCCGACTGCGTCTACTTGTTTTGGAGTGCGAATCCGGTCGCAGTAACCTCCAAGCAACTGCTCAGCTACCTATCAAAATATAAAAACAAAATCAAACATTTTTTTAATTGGATGAATACATCTTGTTGGGGACGAATGATTAACGCCTATGGACCTTAGTTTTTATTTTGCTTATCTCAGCATATGTTATTATATTAGAACTTACACATTAAAGGGAATATTGCATGATTTAGTGTGATGAAGATAATGGAATTTTAATACTGACCTTAAGCTGAAATTTCTTGTGTGTTGCTCTTTTGTGATTGTCTTTGTACATTAGAAAAGCGTTGATTAATGCCATGTCCACGGAAAACCACACAAAGTAAGTCCACCAGCGGACGCTCGCTCTTTGGAGGCTGTAACTACTCCTGAGATGATCATGCCTGTCAACACCACCTATGTACTTATTGAATTCAACTATAGCCTCCGGACATGGAAACTCAGACTTTTCCCATCTCCCAGATGTATTTAGATGTTTTCTTTCCACTTTGTCACGTCTTGCATTTGTGATAGCATTGTGACAAGTACTTAGGTTGTAAACCGTCCTCGAGTCCTGCCAAACAGTAGCGACAAATTTACCATCGGTAGTCTGTCTTGCCATGGATTCGCCTCTCTTCAGGGTTCGGAGCTTGTCGTCTTTCTTCTTCTTCCTTTTGTCTACCTTCAGTTCTACTGGCCAGTGCTTCCTTCCCGTGTTGAACGATCCACACAGGAATGTGGATTTCTCCAAAAGAGATAAAGCCAGAGGAACCGATGTGTAGAATTTGTCAACAAATATGATATGGTTCCTATCGGCAATGTCTTCTGTTAGATTTTCAACAACCCGTTGTGTAAGACCAATCTCCTTTTGTCTCCGAAAATAAACTTGAAAGTTCCACATGAAACCAGTGACAGCATCTGCGGCAACGAATACTTTGAATCCCCTCTTTGCCGGTTTATTGGGAGCCCCTACTATTGTCCAGTGTTGTCCATGGCACTTTATCATTGCTTCATCCACAGAGACTTCCTGATGGAGATTGTACTTCCTTATACTGTTTTTTCTGACACGTTCCATGAGCGGAGAAACTTTGTAGAGGGGGTATTTTTTGGTACTCTCCTTTGCTAACGTTTTGTCTGCTAGTCTGGATGGATCCTTGTTTGGATCGTTTACATGGAAGTACCGTTGAATGGACTTAAACCTCTTTCTTGACATGGACTTCGAGACCAACTGATTGTTAAATGCGGGATGTGTAGACCAGTAATCATCTAGACACGGCTTTGGGTCCAGAGCCATAATCATGCGGATACCAATGAATGCTTTCATATCTTCTATACTGACATCCTTGTAGAAAGTATCTCTCCAAGTCTGGCTTTGTATTTGTTTCCTTTTTGCTGCTGCATAGATTGGAACATATGCGTTGGTAGATTTTACCATAGTTTCAAATATTTGTTCCGGAAATATTTCATAAAAATAATCCAGTTCTTTTGCATTCGATGACAATGGAATGGCTACGCCAGGCTTTGGACCGGTGAAAGTCTTCTTTGTGACTTTTTGTAGCTTGTGTGTCCATGTCAACGTTGGATCTCCTGTGGTAGTATGACTTTCTTTATCCTCATCGTCGTCATCAGCGTCTTCACCACTTTCAATATCAGAAAAGTCCAGGTCAGCAAGTACTTGAAAATCTTCATCACTGTCATACATCAAATCTTCTTGTGAACCCGACTCATCATCATCTGACGAATCTGAGGTCGGATTGATTGCTTTGTTACCCTTACTCGATTTTCGTTTTTTCATAGTTGAACTGTTCTTCGGCGTTATTAGATTTGCGATAGGAATGTCGTCAGATGTTGAATACTCTGATGCTTCCAGTAAAACTGTCCCAGAGAATTTTCTTTTATTTTTCGTTAACCTGGCAAGTGGAATCTCATCACTGGTTGTGTAATCACTGTCAGCTCCTTTTTCGTTTGTTTTAATATCGTTACATTTGATTAGTTTCTCCAACCCCTTCTTACTCTCATTTTGTTTTCGTTCCCCATATTCTTGGTTGATTTCTGGTGCCTTTTTCGTCAACTCCTCTGTACTGTGCTTATTGTCGGATTGTTCCCCTTGACCTTGGTTGATCTCTGCCAACTCCTCTGTACTGTGTTTTCTGTCTGATGGTTCCTCATGTTCTGGGTTGATCTCTGCCAACTACTCAGTACTGTGCTTTCTGTCTGATGGTTCCCCCAGACCTTGGTTGATCTCTGCCAGCTCCTCTGTACTGTGTTGTCTGTCTGATGGTTCCCCATGACCTTGGTTGATCTCCGCCAACGCCTCAGTACTGAGCTAATTGTCTGTGTGTTCCCCATTATCCTGGTTGATCTCTGCCAACGCCTCTGTACTGTGTTGGTTGATCTCTGGTTCCCCATGACCTTGGTTGATCTCTGCCAACGCCTCAGTACTGTGCTAATTGTCTGTGTGTTCCCCGTTATCCTGGTTGATCTCTGCCAACTCCTCGGTACTGTGTTTTCTGTCTGATGGTTCCCCATGACCTTGGTTGATCTCCGCCAACGCCTCAGTACTGTGCTTATTGTCTGTGGGTTCCCCGTGATCTTGGTTGATCTCTGCCAACTCCTCAGTACTGTGCTTATTGTCTGTGTGTTCCCCGTGATCTTGGTTGATCTCTGCCAACTCCTCAGTACTGTGCTTTCTGTCTGATGGTTCCCCATGACCTTGGTTGATCTCTGCCAACGCCTCAGTACTGTGCTTATTGTCTGTGTGTTCCCCGTGATCTTGGTTGATCTCTGCCAACTCCTCTGTACTGTGTTTTCTGTCTGATGGTTCCCCAAGACTTTGGTTGATCTCTGCCAACGCCTCAGTACTGTGCTTATTGTCTGTGTGTTCCCCGTGATCTTGGTTGATCTCTGCCAACTCCTCTGTACTGTGTTTTCTGTCTGATGGTTCCCCATGACCTTGGTTGATCTCTTCCAACGCCTCAGTACTGTGCTTATTGTCTGATGGTTCCCCAAGACCTTGGTTGATCTCTGCCAACGCCTCTGTACTGTGTTGGTTGATCTCTGGTTCCCCATGATCTTGGTTGATCTCTACCAACGCCTGTGTACTGTGTTTTCTGTCTGATGGTTCCCCATGACCTTGGTTGATCTCTGCCAACGCCTCAGTACTGTGCTGATTGTCTGTGTGTTCCCCGTGATCTTGGTTGATCTCTGCCAACTCCTCAGTACTGTGCTTTCTGTCTGATGGTTCCCCATGACCTTGGTTGATCTCTGCCAACGCCTCAGTACTGTGCTTGTTGATCTCTGGTTCCCCATGACCTTGGTTGATCTCTGCCAACGCCTCAGTACTGTGCTGGTTGATCTCTGGTCCCCCATGACCTGGGTTGATCTCTGCCAACGCCTCAGTACTGTGTTGGTTGATCTCTGGTTCCCCATGACCTTGGTTGATCTCTGCCAACGCCTCAGCACTGTGCTGGTTGATCTCTGGTCCCCCATGACCTGGGTTGATCTCTGCCAACGCCTCAGTACTGTGTTGGTTGATCTCTGGTTCCCCATGACCTCGGTTGATCTCTGCCAACTCCTCTGTACTTTGTTTTCTGTCTGATGGTTCCCCATGACCTTGGTTGATCTTTGCCAACGCCTCAGTACTGAGCTCATTTTCTGATGGTTCCCCGTGATCTTGGTTGATCTCTGGTGACTTTGTGCCAACGACTCCGTACTGTATTCCCTTTCCTCCTTTTTGCCTGCGATCGGTTCCTTTTCAGACATTGACAGCCATAATGTGTCAGGTATATCGTCATCAAACTCATTTGAATTTCTTTCATGCAATATGGTAACGGGTACAAAGTGATTTGGTTCGAAGACTGCACCAGGACGACTATCTAAATCTCCATCTCCTGACCACATTATTACGAGAGGTTGGTCCGGTTTATTCAGTTGGGGTACAGTTGGCTGATTGGCGGGTCTAATTAAAGTATTAAAAAGTGGTCGGATTGCCTTATTTACATCAGGGTACACCGAAAGGATGTCTCTGTTCAGGGCTGAGGAGAGCGCAATGAGGTGTATGAGAGACGACCATGATTTATCTGTGCAGGTTGTGATTGAACTCCTCTGGATTGCGCGTGAAAAAAAGCCGCATTGGTCATAATGACTCTGTCCATCATCAGGCAGACAGATGCTTTTGTATGTGTTGGTTGTGAGTCCGGCATCAGAATTGTGTATGACTCTGCTAAATAACTCGTGATTAGCGAGGCTTTCTGAATTTAAGAACAACTCAGCAGCCGTAATTTCTCTCAGAGTTGTTGCCAATGTTTCATTGCCTGCAAAGCAAAATATGTTTCAACTGAATAGTTTTGTAGTTTAAGCAGGCAAAAGTTTGAAATGATATTCCATACGCGCACGTGTAATACGATTACAATAGCATTATTATGTTATGAAATAACAAATGCCGCTCACCACCAACATAAAGCAGTGCGTTTATTATAGTTACGTATAACAATAATTCGGGTTTATTCATTATTATAATAGTCATATTTACCAAATAAGCTCAAGGAAACTGCATTGTAGAGACAATTTCCATTGCCTGTTGTTTTGATGGGATGCACATTCTCTGATGGAAATGGTAAATCAGATGGCAGAAGAGCAGAAGCGAGCAGGTCTTTTTCCAAAGATCGCTTTGAAATGCCTGTTCGTAATTTCTCCACAACTGTATTTTTCAATATTTTCTGATGTTCAGCAACCGCATTTTTATCGTTTTTCTCAATTAATGTCTTTGTGTCCATTTTGTGTCCTACAATAATGTTAACGTTGTTAATATCTTACTATAACCGCATATGTTATAAGTAATCTGTCGTGCATTTGTAGGATAATTCGATAAAAAGCATTAGTTTGTTTGTTATTTAGTTTAAATCAAAATAAGTTGACCTCAAGAGTAATGCTTTATAATATTTATTTGTAAAATAACCTTCTGATTTCAGAATGATGTAATATAGGTCTAGCAGTTTGTGTGATAACATTAGCTGAGCATGTATACGTTCTCTCTTCAACCTATTAAAACATACATGTATACCACACTTAATCTGAATATACCATATCCTCGTTCACACCCCTCTTACATTTAAGAGATTGACACGCATGTTAAAAATGAAACAGCGAAAAATATCTTATCATTCACATGAAAATATCCGACACATCAACCTGTTTACGTGCTTATTATATTAGATACATAAAACACATTGATTTCCTTTTAAATTCATTAGACCAGTATGTATATACGCATACCTACATAGTTATTCATACAAATCTATATATTTGCTATAAAAACAAATACATATTTATAAATATATTATATAAAAAAAAAAATCTCAACAACGAGTCTTTAGTACTATCATCATTAGAAGAGATGAAAGTACTAAAGACTCGTTATTGAGAATTTTTCTTTTTATTATATTTCTTCGTCCGTAAGGATCATTTTTTTGTTTTTATAATATATATACACATAATCTATAAACATAATAAAGATAATATATAACCTGGACACAACATCGTATGGGTACTCACCACGTGCACGTGTCTTCCCTTGACCGCATCCTCCTTATTAAGAGGGACGAAACTATCACTCGTACACTTCCGTTAAATTTTTATTGGTACCAGCTGGACATGCTTTCCCCCAACGGAATCGTACGCTTCAGTTTAATAGCTATTTTAACCGTACCGGGATAATACGTAACTGCCACTGGTCAAGCCCACAGATGTCCGCAGCGGTATAAAGACGTATTTGGTTTCGGCCTCTGTATCTGCACCGTGGTAATACGTAAGGATCGGCGGTCAACTTGACCGTGCCCGAGATAAATAAACTCGGCCAAACATCTTGGTTATAAGAAAACAAAATACCCAGTAGATACATTTTATAGGATTGTGACTAAAATAATCATTTCCTGATATATTTCATCACAATGGTATATAAAAAGAACCAAACTTCCGGCGTTTATAAGTTTCATTTTCTGTATAATTTTGATTGAAGATTGCATTTTTGATTGTATGTTTTGCAAAAGGAAAGTCATACCGTACATAGACGTAAAGTGCATTTGGATTAAAAGCGCTGTAGCGTTTTAATGGGCATTTTGTGTACTCGTGCAACAAAGAGCCATAACGTACTAAAATACGTTTCAACATTCTCAGAAGAACCGAAACGTACTTAAACGTACTACATTACCCGCATTTGTTCTTATTCTATATTAACATGAATGGTGAAGAAACAAAATATACGCAAATTTACGCTATGGCTCTGAAAATCCCTGCAATTAAGTACGCTACGGCCGTTTCTCGATGTACAATAGCGGCTTTCAGGAACTCATTTTTTTAGTACGTATACATACGCACTGGCCGTCGAAAGGATATAATATAGCACACAGATTTAAGACTGAAAAGTGTTTAAAACTAGCACCTCTGATTCTAAACAAGGAAAATGAAGAAATTTTAGCACCCGCCCTGCAGCCCTTGGGGGTAGGGCTGGCTCAAAATGTTCAAAGTATCAAACTGTCAACTCAGCGTTATAATTCCAATCAAGTTATCAAAATGTAATATCCAAAGTATCATTTGCCAATATACACCATAATAAATGAAATTCACAATTTTGGTAAAGCACCTTAAGACCCTTTCATCTATGAAGAGTATTTGATTCTACCATATCTGGGTCTTGAGCAGAAGATTTTTGAAATTTCAGTCAATTCGACCCTTTTTGGCCCCACCCATCAGCCCCTGGGGGTTAGTCAGGGCTGAAATGTGCATACCGTCAAACTGCTATCTAATACTGATAATGCTAACCAAGTATAAATTAATTCCAATGAAATTAAACAAATGTTGGTCCAAAATATGATTTCCCTATATAAACTATAGTAAAGTTTACCCCCTCCCCAGGGGAAAACATGAGACCCCAGGGTCATGAAATTCACAATTTTGGTAGAGCACCTTAAAACCCTTCCATCTATGAAGTAATTTGATTCTATCACATCTGGGTCTTGAGAAGAAGATTTTTGAAATTTCAGTCAATTCGACACTTTTTGGCCCAACCATCAGCCCCTGGGGGTCAGTCAGGGCTGATATGTGCATACAATCAAACTGCTATCCAATATTGATAATGCTTACCCAAATTAAATTACTTCCAATGGAAATTAAACAAATGTTGGTCAAAAATGTGATTTCTTTATATAGACTATAATAAAGTTTACCCTATCTCCAGGGGAAAACATGAGACCATAGTAGGACCTTAACTCTTCAATCTGGTTCCGACAACAGCGCTCAATATGCACTGGTATCAATGTCAAATATTGTGTGGAACATGATTTGCTAAAAAGCTCATTATGGATTTTAATAGTCTGTTAAATTTTACTATGAGATGGTTCAATACTTTCGAG